CGGCAATAACCCGGCCAGGGTTAAGAGTCATCCCACAATTTGATTACTGCTATGTGATTAGTTGGAACTTACATATGCAAACATTACATCCCCAGCCCCTCTCCATGTGTCTCATCCCTCCCAGACTGTCCATGTGTCTCATTCTCCGCCAGCCCCTCCATGTGTCTTATTCTCCCCCTCAGCTCCATGTGTTTAATTCCCTCCCAGCCCCTCCATGTTTCTCATTCTTCCCCCCAGCCCCTCTATGTGTCTCCTCCCTCCAGAGCACCCATGTGTCTCATTTCCCCAGCCCCTCTGTCTCACTCCCCCCCAGCCAATCCATGTGTTTCATTCTCCCCTCTGACCCCTCCATGTGTCTCACCCCCCAGCCCTTCTATGTGTTTCACCCCCATGTTCCTTATTTCTCCCCAGCCGCTCCATGTGTCTCATTTTCATGCCCAACCACTCCATGTGTCTCATTCTCCTCCCCAGCCCCTCTATGCGTCTCTTTCCACCCCAGAACCTCCATGTAGCTCATCCTCTCCCAGACCGTCTATGTCTCATTCCCCCAGACCCTGTTTGTGTCTAATTCCCTTCCCAGCCTTTCCATGTGTCCCATTTCACCCAGCCTTTCCATGTGTCTCATTTCACCCACAGCCGTTCCATGTGTCTCATTTCACCCACAGCCGTTCCATGTGTCTCATTCTCCCTCCCCAGCCCCTCTGCGTTTCATACCCCCAGCCCTTCCCTGTGTCTCATCATCTCCCCCAGACCGTCCATGTGTCTCCTTCCTCCTTCCCTCCCCCCAGCCCCTTCTGTAACTGCTCTGTACCTCCATGTAGCGTAGTTGAGAGAACCACGGCACCCAGTCTACCAGGAAGTGCTCATTGCTCTCAGTGAGCACAAACTGTCACACCACGGTCTGCTCGTCCACGCTACCAAACAGTGACTCTCATGAGGAGGAGCACTGCGAACTCCCCTCCTGCTGGTCACCTGACCAGCACACGCTCAGGCCGGTGTTAACGTTATTTCAGAAAACCTGTTGCAGGAGTCGACTGGGTGGCCAAACCTCCTGAACTGTTGGGCCTGGTCGCAGTTGCGACCGCGGTAGTTGCGCCAGTGGTCATTTGTAACAAACATTTAAAAAAATAAAACAATTTTCGAGATGTTGTATTATCCGGGATATTGTAATTAGTATCTCACGTCTGTCACTCCAGGCAGACACCAGACACGAGAGAGTGTAACTGTGGACATCCTGATTGGGCTCTCTTTCAAAAAGAGACCAATAAGGAAGCGCGCTGTTTTACTCTCTCACAATGTCTGTAAAGCCAACCTTCCTGAAATTCATTTTTGCAGTAACAAGTATCAGCTCACTGGTGAATTTATATGAACTTACTGCATAAACACACTACAGTCTTATTTTTTTTTCATGGACTCAGCTCTCCTTTACTCTCACTGAGACTATCATACCAGTGGCGTACATACCAGGGTCGCAGGGGTCGCGGCTGCGACCGGGCCCGGCCCACCAGGGGGCCCGGCCGCCCCTGCGACCCGGTATGTACGCCACAGGGCCAGCCTCTTCCCCTGGGGGGCCCAGGAGCCGACCAACCCAGGGCCCCCCGAGGCTGGCCCTGCTGACACCCAGCAGGCGGGCGCGCGAGGGAGCACTCAGTGCTTCCTCTTCAGCTCCCTCGCGCACCGCACTGATACCGGAGCACTGAGTGCTCCCTCGCGCGCCCGCCTGCCTGCCCGACCGGCCACCTGCCCAGCAGCACCACTGGACCCCAGGGAATCCCCCCAGCACTCCAAAAGGTAAGGAGGCTGGGGGGATTAAATTTAAAAAAAAACGTGTGAGTGTCAGAGTGTGTGAGTGTCAGAGTGTGTGAGTGAGTGTGAGTGTTAGAGTGAGTGTTAGTGTGTGTGTCTGCTAGTGAGTGTTAGTGTGAGTGTTAGTGAGTGTGAGTGTGTGTGTCTGCTAGTGAGTGTCAGTGAGTGTGTTACTGTGTGTGTCAGTGAGTGTGTTACTGAGTGTGTGTGTGTGTTAGTGAGTCTGTTTGATGTCTGTTAGTGAGTTTGTGTTTGTCAATGAGAGTGTATGTTTTGTAAGTGAGTGTGTATGTATGTCTGTCGCTGACTGTGTCTCTGTCAGTAAATGTGTGTCTGTTAGCTAGTGTGTATGCGTCTGTAAGTGTGTGTGTGTGTGTGTGTCTTCAGCACTTACCTTTCTCCAGCGCCGGACTCCCTTGGCGCTGGGGATCTCTCAGCCTCTCAGCTCCGAATGCGACCGCGCACGCATTCAAACCGCCCATAGGAAAGCATTACTCAATGCTTTCCTATGGACATTCAGTGTGCTCCTCTAGCGGCTGTCAGTGAGACAGCCACTAGAGGCTGGATTAACCCTCAGTGAAACATAGCAGTTTCTCTGAAACTGCTATGTTTTCAGCTGCAGGGTTAAAACTAGAGGGACCTGACACACAGACAACTTCATTGAGCTGATGTGATCTGGGTGTCTGTAGTGGTCCTTTAAGTGTGTGTGCATCTGCATGCACTGGCGTACATACCGCGGTCGCAGGGGTCGCAGCCCTGTAACCCCTGCGACCAGGTGACCACCGACATGTGTTGCGGCGCGGCCCGGCCCGCGCGCCGGGGTGGGGGGGGGGCGGGTGGAGGAGCCCCACAGATCAATTTTCGCATCGGGGCCCCATGGGTCATGTGTACGCCACTGTATCATACAATATATTGGTCTCAGTCATAGTGATGGACAGCTGAGCCCATGGAAAAAAAATAAATAAATTGTAATGTGTTTACTCAGTAAGTTCATATTATTAAGTGTTCTTGCATAGCAAGACCACTTAATGTTATCGCACATATATATTTAAGTGTTCTTGCAAGAACACTTATTGTTATCTCACATATATATTATTATTATTAAGTGTTCTTGCATAGCAAGACCACTTAATGTTATCTCACATATATATTATTATTATTATTATTAAGTGTTCTTGCATAGCAAGACCACTTAATGTTATCTCTATATATATTGTATTATTGTTAAATTGTTCTTGTATAGAGACCATATCATTATCTCACATATATATTATTAAGTGTTCTTGCATAGCAAGACCACTTAATGTTATCTCACATATATATTATTATTATTATTATTATTATAGCAAAATTTGCCACCCTAACTCCTCCACAGTTTTTACACTACATAGACAAAAATTTACCAAAACGTGCAGATTGTTCCCGATCGGATTGCTATTACTTTGTGGAACGTTTCGCCGAATGGTTCACGGAATATCGTCGTTCTTGTGGCGAAATTTGTCCCATAGGAATGAATGGCAAAGCTAGAGTGGGAGCTGGCAAAAGCTGAAAAATCAGGACATGATTTCTAAACTGCCACCACTCCCATATTTTCAGGCCCACCTACACAAATCTTATATCAAAACGTTCAGCTATCCCTGCTGCCACTAGAAATGTCCACGGCTAAGCCATAGTCCTGATAGATTCCACAATATGACCATTTGTTTTGCAATAGCATAGATCCATTGACATTCATTGAAACTTCCTCTGCAAGCTCAAATTTGATGCAATTTCTAAACTGCGACTGTGCCTTCAATTTTAATACTTCAGAGACATACTATGCGTAAAACGTAGGTCTGGGTCTTGTGATTCTCACAATATAAAGCTCTTCACTGTAGGGTTATAGTTTTTTAGATACGACCGTTTGAAGATTACAGCCACCAAATATTCTGACCTGTGTCAAGCTGCGGCAACAAGTGATGTCATAGACAGAGGGCCTTTAGACACTTACTGCTAATGTTTTTCTAAATGTATGGTTTAATGTAACTGTGCAAAAACGTTGCAATTGAGATGTGCTAGACTACAGGTGGAGGCAAGAACACTTCACACAATTTCCCCAGAAATTGTAACTTTTCTAGTTATTATTATTCTTATTATAGCAAATTTTGCCACCCTAACTCCTCCCACAGTTTTTATACTACATAGACAAAAATTTACCAAAACGTGCAGATTGTTCCCGATCGGATTGCTATTACTTTGTGGAACGTTTCGCCGAATGGTTCACGGAATATCGTCGTTCTTGTGGCGAAATTTGTCCCATAGGAATGAATGGCAAAGCTGGAGTGGGAGCTGGCAAAAGCTGAAAAATCAGGACATGATTTCTAAACTGCCACCACTCCCTTATTTTCAAACCCACCTACACAAATCTTATATCAAAACGTTCAGCTATCCCTGCTGCCACTAAACATGTCAACGGCTAAGCCATAGTCCTGATAGTTTTCACAATATAATCATTTGTTTGCAACTAATGCCGTCCATTGACTTTCATTGAAACTTCACTCTGCAAAGCTCAGATTTGAAGTGCAATTTCTAAACTGCGACTGTGCCTTCAATTTTAATACTTCAGAGACATACTATGCATCAAAATGTAGGTCTGGGTCTTGTGATTCTCACAATATAAAGCTCTTCGCTGTAGGATTTATAGTTTTAAAGATACGACCGTTTGAAGATGGCAACCACCAAAATACTCTGACCTGTGTCAAGCTGCAGCAGCAAGTGATGTCATAGACAGGGCCTTTTGAACACCTGCTAATGTTTTTATAAATGTATGGTTTAATGTAACTGTGCAACAACGTTGCAATTAAATGTGCTATGTAAATGATAACAGTTACTCCGCCCACTCCTTTTGTAGACTACAGGTGGAGGCAAGAACACTTCACACAATTTCCCCAGAAATTGTAACTTTTCTAGTTAAGTGTTCTTGCATAGCAAGACCACTTAATGTTTTCTCACATATATATTATTATTATTATTATTATTCTTATTATTATTGCAAAATTTGCCACCCTAACTCCTCCCACAGTTTTTACACTACATAGACCAAAATTTACCAAAACGTGCAGATTGTTCCCGATCGGATTGCTATTACTTTGTGGAACGTTTCGCCGAATGGTTCACGGAATATCGTCGTTTTTGGCCAGAACATAATTTGTATAGGAATGAATGGCAAAGCTAGAGTGGGAGCTGCCAAAAGCTGAAAAATCAGGACATGATTTCTAAACTGCCACCACTCCCTCATTTTCAAGCCCACCTACACAAATCTTATATCAAAACGTTCAGCTATCCCTGCTGCCACTAAACATGTAAGCCGTAGTCCTGATAGTTTTCACAATATGACCATTTGTTTGCAACCAACGCCGTCCATTGACATTCATTGAAACTTCACTCTGCAAAGCTCAAATGTGAAGTGCAATTTCTAAACTGCGACTGTGCCTTCATTTTTAATACTTCAGAGACATACTATGCATCAAAATGTAGGTCTGGGTCTTGTGATTCTCACAATATAAAGCTCTTCGCTGTAGGAGTTATAGTTTTTAAGATACAACCGTTTGAAGATGGCAACCGCCAAAATACTCTGACCTGTGTCAGGCTGCAGCAGCAAGTGATGTCATAGACAGGGCCTTTTGAACACCTGCTAATGTTTTATAAATGTATGGTTTAATGTAACTGTGCAACAACGTTGCAATTGAATGTGCTATATAAATGATAGCAGTTACTCCGCCCACTCCAGTTGTAGACTACAGGTGGAGGCAAGAACACTTCACACAATTTCCCCAGAAATTGTAACTTTTCTAGTTATTATTATTATTATTATAGCAAAATTTGCCACCCTAACTCCTCCCACAGTTTTTACACTACATAGACAAAATTTACCAAAACGTGCAGATTGTTCCCGATCGGATTGCTATTACTTTGTGGAACGTTTCGCCGAATGGTTCACGGAATATCGTCGTTCTTGTGGTGAAATTTGTCCCATAGGAATGAATGGCAAAGCTAGAGTGGGAGCAGGCAAAAGCTGAAAAATCAGGACATGATTTCTAAACTGCCACCACTCCCTTATTTTCAGGCCCACCTACACAAATCTTATATCAAAACGTTCAGCTATCCCTCCTGCCACTAAACATGTCAACGGCTAAACCATAGTCCTGATAGTTTTCACAATATAATCATTTGTTTGCAACTAACGCCGTCCATTGACTTTCATTGAAACTTCACTCTGCAAAGCTCAAATTTGAAGTGCAATTTCTAAACTGCGACTGTACCTTCATTTTTAATACTTCAGAGACATACTATACATCGAAATGTAGGTCTGGGTCTTGTGATTCTCACAATATAAAGCTCTTCGCTGTAGGATTTATAGTTTTTAAAATACGACCGTTTGAAGATGGCAACTGCCAAAATACTCTGACCTGTGTCAGGCTGCAGCAGCAAGTGATGTCATAGACAGGGCCTTTTGAACACCTGCTAATGTTTTTATAAATGTATGGTTTAATGTAACTGTGCAACAACGTTGCAATTGAATGTGCTATGTAAATGATAACAGTTACTCTGCCCACTCCAGTTGTAGACTACTGGTGGAGGCAAGAACACTACACAATTTCCCCGAAATTGTGGCACTACTAGTTAAGTGTTCTTGCACTTAGCAGGGCTCCGCAATGTTATCTCACATATATATTATTAAGTGTTCTTGCGCCTTAGAACTTTCGCAATGTTATCTCACGCCATATATTATTATTATTATTATTATTATTATTATTATAGCAAAATTTGCCACCCTAACTCCTCCCACAGTTTTTACACTACATAGACAAAAATTTACCAAAACGTGCAGATTGTTCCCGATCGGATTGCTATTACTTTGTGGAACGTTTCGCCGAATGGTTCACGGAATATAGTCGTTTTTGTGGCGCAATTTGTCCCATAGGAATGAATGGCAAAGCTAGAGTGGGAGCTGGCAAAAGCTGAAAAATCAGGACATGATTTCTAAACTGCCACCACTCCCTTATTTTCAGGCCCACCTACACAAATCTTATATCAAAACGTTCAGCTATCCCTGCTGCCACTAAACATGTCAACGGCTAAGCCGTAGTCCTGATAGTTTTCACAATATGACCATTTGTTTGCAACCAACGCCGTCCATTGACATTCATTGAAACTTCACTCTGCAAAGCTCAAATTTGAAGTGCAATTTCTAAACTGCGACTGTGCCTTCATTTTTAATGCTTCAGAGACATACTATGCATCAAAATGTAGGTCTGGGTCTTGTGATTCTCACAATATAAAGCTCTTCACTGTAGGAGTTATAGTTTTTAAGATACGACCGTTTGAAGATGGCAACCACCAAATACTCTGACCTGTGTCAAGCTGCAGCAGCAAGTGATGTCATAGACAGGGCCTTTTGAACACCTGCTAATGTTTTTATAAATGTATGGTTTAATGTAACTGTGCAACAACGTTGCAATTAAATGTGCTATATAAATAATAACAGTTACTCCGCCCACTCCAGTTGTAGACTACTGGTGGAGGCAAGAACACTTTACACAATTTCCCCAGAAATTGTAGCTTTTCTAGTTATTATTATTATTCTTATTATTATAGCAAAATTTGCCACCCTAACTCCTCCCACAGTTTTTACACTACATAGACAAAAATTTACCAAAGCGTGCAGATTGTTCCCGATCGGATTGCTATTACTTTGTGGAACGTTTCGCCGAATGGTTCACGGAATATCGTCGTTCTTGTGGCGAAATTTGTCCCATAGGAATGAATGGCAAAGCTAGAGTGGGAGATGCCAAAAGCTGAAAAATCAGGACATGATTTCTAAACTGCCACCACTCCCTTATTTTCAGGCCCACCTACACAAATCTTATATCAAAACGTTCAGCTATCCCTGTTGCCACTAAACATGTCAACGGCTAAGCCATAGTCCTGATAGTTTTCACAATATAATCATTTGTTTGCAACTAACGCCGTCCATTGATATTCATTGAAACTTCACTCTACAAAGCTCAAATTTGAAGTGCAATTTCTAAACTGCGACTGTGCCTTCATTTTTAATACTTCAGAGACATACTATGCATCAAAATGTAGGTCTGGGTCTTGTGATTCTCACAATATAAAGCTCTTTGCTGTAGGATTGATAAAATACGTTTGAAGATGGCAACCGCCAAGATACTCTGACCTGTGCCAGGCTGCAGCAGCAAGTGATGTCATAGACAGGGCCTTTTGAACACCTGCTAATGTTTTGCCAAATGTGGTTTAATGTAGCTTTGTACAGCAACGTGTTTATATAGAGGTGTTATAACGGTTAAATTAAGCCCACTCCCAGTTGTAGACTACTGGGTGGGCGAACACTTCACACAATTTCCCAAATTGTAGCTTTTCTAGTTAATTGTTTTTGCATAGCAAGACCACTTAATGTTATCTCACATATATATTATTAAGTGTTCTTGCGCCTTAAAGAACCACTTAATGTTATCTCACATATATATTATTATTATTATTGTGCTTGCTTATTATTATAGCAAAATTTACCACCTTGTGTATTTCTTATTATAGCCAAATTTGCCACCCTAACTCCTCCCACAGTTTTTGCACTACATAGACAAAAATTTACCAAAACGTGCAGATTGTTCCCGATCGGATTGCTATTACTTTGTGGAACGTTTCGCCGAATGGTTCGCGGAATATCGTCGTTTTTGTGGCGCAATTTGTCCCATAGGAATGAATGGCAAAGCTAGAGTGGGAGCTGCCAAAAGCTGAAAAATCAGGACATGATTTCTAAACTGCAACCACTCCCTTATTTTCATGCCCACCTACACAAATCTTATATCAAAGCGTTCAGCTATCCCTGCTGCCACTAAACATGTCAATGGCTAAGCCATAGTCCTGATAGTTTTCACAATATAATCATTTGTTTGCATCTAACGCCATCCATTGACATTCATTGAAACTTCACTCTGCAAAGCTCAAATTTGAAGTGCAATTTCTAAACTGCGTGGCCTTCAATTTTAATACTTCAGAGACATACTATGCATCAAAATGTAGGTCTGGGTCTTGTGATTCTCACAATATAAAGCTCTTCACTGTAGGAGATACAGTTTTTAAAGATACGACCGTTTGAAGATGGCAACCGCCAAAATACTCTGACCTGTGTCAAGCTGCAGCAGCAAGTGATGTCATAGACAGGGCCTTTTGAACACCTGCTAATGTTTTTATAAATGTATGGTTTAATGTAACTGTGCAACAACGTTGCAATTAAATGTGCTATATAAATGATAACAGTTACTCCGCCCACTCCAGTTGTAGACTGGTGGAGGCAAGAACACTTCACACAATTTCCCCTGAAATTGTAACTTTTCTAGTTAAGTGTTCTTGCACTTAGCAAGACCACTTATTGTTATCCTCACATATATATTCTTCGTATGCTATTATGTAAAATTTGCCACCCTAACTCCTCCCACAGTTTTTACACTACATAGACAGTAATATACCGAAATGTGTGGATTGTTCCCGATTGGTGTGCTATTACTTTGTGGAACGTTTTGCCGAATGGTTCACGGAATATCGTCGTTCTTGTGGAGAAATTGGTCCCATAGGAATGAATGGCAAAATGTTCAAAACTAGAGTGGGAGCTGGCAAAAGCTGAAAAATCAGGACATGATTCCTAAACTGCCACCACTCCCTCATTTTCAAGCCCACCTACACAAATCTTATATCAAAACGTTCAGCTATCCCTGCTGCCACTAAACATGTCAACGGCTAAGCCGTAGTCCTGATAGTTTTCACAATATAATCATTTGTTGCAACTAACGCCGTCCATTGACTTTCATTGAAACTTCACTCTGCAAAGCTCAAATTTGAATTGCAATTTCTAAACTGCGACTGTGACTTCAATTTTAATACTTCAGAGACATACTATGCATCAAAATGTGGGTCTGGGTCTTGTGATTCTCACAATATAAAGCTCTTCGCTGTAGGATTTATAGTTTTTAAGATACAACCGTTTGAAGATGGCAACCACCAAAATACTCTGACCTGTGTCAAGCTGCAGCAGCAAGTGATGTCATAGACAGGGCCTTTTGAACACCTGCTAATGTTTTTATAAATGTATGGTTTAATGTAACTGTGCAGCAACGTTGCAATTAAATGTGCTATGTAAATGATAACAGTTACTCCGCCCACTCCAGTTGTAGACTACAGGTGGAGGCAAGAACACTTCACACAATTTCCCCAGAAATTGTAACTTTTCTAGTTCTTATTATTATTATAGCAAAATTTGCCACCCTAACTCCTCCCACAGTTTTTACACTACATAGACCAAAATTTACCAAAACGTGCAGATTGTTCCCGATCGGATTGCTATTACTTTGTGGAACGTTTCGCCGAATGGTTCACGGAATATCGTCGTTTTTGTGGTGCAATTTGCCCCATAGGAATGAATGGCAAAGCTAGAGTGGGAGCTGCCAAAAGCTGAAAAATCAGGACATGATTTCTAAACTGCCACCACTCCCTTATTTTCAGGCCCACCTACACAAATCTTATATCAAAACGTTCAGCTATCCCTACTGCCACTAAACATGTCAACGGCTAAGCCGTAGTCCTGATAGTTTTCACAATATAATCATTTGTTTGCAACTAACGCCGTCCATTGACTTTCATTGAAACTTCACTCTGCAAAACTCAAATTTGAAGTGCAATTTCTAAACTG